ATCTACAAAGAGCACCAATTTTACTCTCCTTACCAGTGAGAAGACTTATTGAAAGGGTATAATCCTGTTCTGTTTCCATATAACAAAGGAATCTTTTAGGATGTCTGGACTTCAGAGATTGTTAAGTGCTGTGAAATGTAATCTTTAATTCTTGAAAGCCCGTAATTCCCATTGGTTGTCACTCAACAATTCAATGCCCTGATAACAATATTTACATTGATATATTTTTTCCTGAAGGTATAACTTGCGAGGTTTTGAGTTAGTCCAGAAAAGGAGCTTTGGCATTTCTCTTGCCAACCTCCATGCACAGTAGATTCCTTTTTCAAAGGGTCTGAGAGCCTTTGAAATGTACAGGGCCACTGTATGACTATGTGGTCTCAGGGCTGCCTGTCCGTTTCCTTGTTCCTCGCGAGCTTCCTCTTTCATTCTCCTCTGCTGCTAGTCTAAATCTGCACTCTTCTTTTCAGTTTCCCGGTGCAACTCCAGCAGATCTTTCCCTCCTGCTTCATCAAACAATGAGGAAAGAGTGAGAGGGAAATCATCACAGGGAAGCTTTAACAGGCAGATTTCTGAGAAAAAATGATGGGGTAGGAGTTGACCAGCTAACTAAGCCCATTCCGCCTGACTGAAATGAAAAGAACGAGATGAATGCACATAGCAAAGACCTCACCAGCAGTACTGAAGCTAGGAATGGCAAAAATTTTGAAAAGTGTCCTCTAGACATAAAATTTGGACTCTAAAATTGAAATGAGATGGTATGATGCAACATGGTTCTTTCTGGAGAGTGATCGGGGGGCAGAAGGGGACCCACAAACAACACCAAACCCATTACCAGGTCCTGTTAATTCTGCTCCTAAATATATCTGGAATCCTCCCTATGTCTCTATATATTCATAGTTTTAATGAGTTGTTTTGTGTACCCAGGAAAGTTATTCATGTGGATTGTTTTGTCCATATGATTACTGAACTCTCTTATCAATTTAAATAACTCTTCCAGATGGTTCTTTCAGATTTCATAGCTAAAACATTATATCATCTACAAATAATAATAACCTTATCTTCTTCCCTTGAAAAGAAAAAAGGCTGAGGCCTGCATGAAGGAAACTAAAAAGTATAGATTGACAGATATAATGGAAACAGACATCATGTGGATCTAGATGTGAAGACTATTTTAAGGATGTCAAATCATCCTAAATTATTTTACAGCTTTACTAAAATTACTAAATTTACTAAAATTAAACTTTATGTAAAATTGCAATAGGACTTTGTTTTTGTAACTTGCCAAAAGGTAATTTGAAAGAACAAGTTAAGAATCGCTAAGAAAATTTTATTTAGGGGCGCCTGAGTGGCTCAGTCGTTAAGCGTCTGCCTTCAGCTCAGGTCATGATCCCAGGGCCCTGGGATCAAGCCCCACATCGGGCTCTCTGCTGGACGGGAAACCTGCTTCTCCCTCTCCCACTCCTCCTGCTTGTGTTCCCTCTCTCACTGTGTCTCTCTCTGTCAAATAAATAAATAAAATCTTAAAAAAAGAGAAAATTTTATTTAAAAAATGGCTAACAAGGGGGGTCTGCCATATTTTAAGATGTTTGGTAAAGCAATTATTAGTTTGGTAATATTAAAATAATTGTAAGGTTAATAAAACAGAACAGAGAGGCCTTTAACAGACCTGAGAAGAAAACAATTAATGTCAAAAAAGTATATGAAATTAATGAGGAAGGTACATATTACTCAACAGAATGGTGTTGATATTCTGTGGGTAGCATGGCCTCTTTGGAAGGGGGTGATGATGCTTTGTGTGGTTCAACTGGGGAAGTGGCAAGATCTCGTAGAGCAAACAAACTAGAACTTAGAAATCTGAGGGAACTGTAGTCTGCCTCTGAATCTTCCTTTTTTTGGCTTCAGGACAGTGTTTCTCAGAGTGAGAAGTATCATCCATTAAGTGTAAAAGAAAAATGGTAATGGAACCCCTGCTATAAATAAGATTAAACAGATTTTCTTAACACAGGACTTCTCAGAACCTTTAAAATGCGCATAGTTACCATGAATCTTCAAGAAAGACATACAGCATGGACTGTTTACCAAACTTATTTAACCTTTGAACCCATTTTGAGCATACTTCTGGACTAGTGTTCCATTTAACACACTGTGGGAAAACGGGATCAATCTTAATAGGAAAGGAGATAGCTCTGTGGGTATATCAATTGGGGTTCTTGATTGAAACAACAAGCCCATGTCTGCATAATTTAAGCATGAAAGAAATTTATTGGGAAGGTAACCACTTGTTTTCAGACTCAATGTGAAGTCTTGGAAAATGGGGCAGGACCAAGGAAAGGAGGACATCAGAGAAGACTCCCAACATGTCCCTTGAAGACTCTCAGATATCTCTGAGGCAGTGCATTATTGTCTCAGTCATGCAGATGGTGACATCTGATTGCCTGAGCCTGGGTAATGTGCCAGGGAGCTGGGAAGAAGAAATGTCCAACCTCTTTTGTCTTTTGACTCAGAGTTGTGGTCCTATCTACCACTGATTTTGAGATTTCTCTTTATTAAGAAGGGTACTGCTATCCTGGACAAAGAGACAAGTATTCTATAGCCCAATACTCATATACACCCTTTTCCTCATCCTGGCACTTCCTCAAGCTGCTTTTACCTGACCTAGTGCAGCTATATGCTATCTAGACCCATCTTCTTTCCAAGAGTAGACAACCCACTGTCTTTTGAGTTATTGCAACCAGTTCCAAGCCCAGCATCACTGAGTGATGTATTGTCCTCTTTAGTTCTGTCATGATCTCATCTGGGTATCCAATGTAAGTGAGAGGAAAAAGAAAGAAAAATGAAATTAAATTAAAAAAAAGATACATGACAGGTAAATACAGGTATAGTGGCTTTAACCCTTGTTTCTGCAAAGTTCATGAGGCCACACGACCACCCTCCGTAGCCATTTATTCTGTCTTCCTTTGCTCTTCAGTCAGCATGTCAACTGCCTATGTTCTTTACTTGGTGGGATGAGTCAGACCTTTGTTTCTGAGCTATCTTACTCTGTTGGCCATCCCATTTGTTAAGAATGCCAAACTTTACAGGTTGAACTAGAAGATACCCCTGGGTATCTATTGCTTGAGTTCCAGTCATAATCCTCCCTGCTCCCCGTATTAGTCATCTTTTGCTGCCTAACAAATTACCCTCAAACTCAGTGGCTTTAACAACAGACATTCATTACCTCAGGGTTTGTGGGCTAGGAATCCAGATGTGGCTTAGCTGGGCACCTCGACTCTAAGTCTCTCATGAGGTTGCATTCAGGCTGTTGGCTGTGACTGTTGTCTCATCTGAAGGTGCAATTGTTGGGGGAGGGTCATTCTTCCAAGATCACAAGGGCATGAATACCAGGAGGCAGAAATCACTGGGGACCATCTTAGAAGATACCTACCACATCCCATCTGTGTGTCAGTGAACTTTCTTCCCTTGATTGTCAGGATCAACCATCCAACATGGTAGACATAGAGATACACTTCCCAGATTCCCCTTCAAAGAAAAGCTTGTTGTCTGAACTGTTTGTTGGGGGAGCTGTAAGCAGATGGTCTCCAGCTATTAGCTCCTTCAGGGAGCCTTGCAGGGTCAATTAGGTATGGACATTTTAGCCTAACATAGGACAAGTCTGGTGGGTCATTTATGCTCCAGAACTCCTCATGGGGCTGACTGAAGTTTGTTGGTCCTGTACTAAATTTCAACAGTTCAGCTTATCTCTCTGCCCAATCCTGTCTTCTCCTACTCCCTTCCACAGATGTTGGTCCTTCACAAAAAATCCTGTACACCAAATTCCATCTCAGTGTCTGCTTTTGCAAAACCCAGTCTGAGACATTGCCAAACCTATGATCTTTTTTAAAAAAACTGTTTTTCCAGTGGCATGAGATGTTTGAAATAGCCTGATAGCGGTCCCAGCTCCTAACTTGGGGGAATCATTGTTGGGTTCTCTGGTAGAAATATTCCTCCTCTGGGTACCCTAAGTCAGCAGATCCAGACTTTCAGAAATGAAGTAATACCATTGAGGATGGGTCATCATATGTCAGTGTGAGAGATACTACCTAATTATACTCCTTGGTATAAATACTCTAGATCCATGTATTTTGGGGGAAGAAACAGCCCTATTTTAAAGCAGATGCTACATGCTGCAGAGCAGCTCCCAGTGTTTCAAGGCATTGTCTACTAGCTGGTACTGCAATGGACTCTTCAGTGCTCAAGTCCACTGTTTTATAAGGCCAGCTATTTCTGGGGAATGAACTATTCCCCTAAATAAATCATCCACCCAACCAGTGTATGGAAGAGCCAGGATTCCATGCCAGGACTCAGATTTTTCCACTGGATTGATGGTTTTCAACCTTGACTGCATGTAGGACTCACTCAAGGGTTATTAAAGATGCTGATGCCTGAGCCCCACCCCACACCAAATAAGTCAGAATTTTGGGGGATGTGGCACTGGCATTTTTTACAAACGTGTTCCAGGAGTTGAGGACCACTGCACTGTGTCCTAGACATGTAGCTCTCATTCTCTACCACCCCACCCAGGGAAGGGGGCTCTGTGAGCATATAGTTCTCGTGTGGTTGAGAGTCAGATATATTAGGAGAAAGGTTTACTTGCAGGGAATGAAAGCATGGAGCTGTATTTCTGTACTGTGTTTTATTTTATTTTATTTAAAGATTTATTTATTTATTTTAGAGAGAGAGAGAGGAGGGGCAGAGGGAGAGAATCTTCAAGCAGACTCCCCACTGAGCACAGAGCCAGACACAGGGCTTGATCCCACAACCCATGAGATCATGACCTGAGCCGAAACCAAGAGTCAGGCACTCAACCGACTGAGCCACCCAGGTGCCTCTATATCTCTGTACTGTGTTTTAAATAGGAATAGTTTGGGAAAATGTCATATTATACACCATTTTAAACTGCAATTTTTTTTTTTATTGTTGCTTTAGGCTTAATCATAGATACACTTTATTTTCCTTGCAAGAAAACAGGTGGAATGCCAAGAATTATCCAGAGAGAATTGCACTCTGCTGCAGGGTAGGAACCATGGCTGTTTTGTTCAAGGAGGAATTCCCAACATCTAGGCATAGAACTTGACATGGCACACAGTGAGTACTTGATAAATTTCACTGGATGGGTAAATGGATGCTGGAGTGAATGAATGCGAGGCAATACCATGCATTTCTGTGGGGATATTCCCAGTAGAGATAGGACGGAAGACGCTCATCCTAAGGGTCCTGGATGAAAGCTGCAGCCGTAGGGAGCAGGGACATTTATAGGGAGCATGGGGAGGCAAAGGAAGTTTAAGGTTCCAGTTAGGGAGACTGACCCAGTTAAAGGGCCAGCTGGAGAGCTTAAGTTGGGGAAAGAAGTTCGTACATAGTAAGCTGGGAAAATAAACTAAAAGCATGAAATGGTGGCTGAGAGCAGTTATCTCATTACTTGCTGAAAAAGAGCAAAATCAAAATATTTGGAAAGAGAAACCTAAGTTGAAGAAGAAAGTTGGAGGGAACCATACACAGCATCGGGGTATGAAGTGAATGGTGTTATGATTTGTTAGAGTGTGGGCATAGGTTGGGATTTTGAAACTTATTGGCTTAGTGGTTTTAGTTTGCAGAGGACAGAAAGCCCTGTTGTGGCATTGGAGATATTATTGTGGGACTTGGGGTTTTCAGAGGTCTTGTTCTTTTTTTGTGGGTTTGGGCGCAGATTTGCGTAGCACGTGCGTCACAGAAGTCGCGTTAAGACAGAACTGGACACTGGCTGGTTTTTCCTTACACTGGGCATTAGGAACTTGACTCAAGTTGCCAAGCCAGATCCCTGTGCTCAAGGACTAAGTGATGATTATACAAGTTATTTATGCAGTGTGCCTGGAGGTGAAGGGTTAGCTCTCATTCCACCCCTCCCCTTGCCCTTCTGGGGGAGGGGACCCTGGCCGAGAACAGTGTGAAAAATGGGTTAATGAGTTATAAAATATGTGCCACGGGTGACACTGTGGTCCACATCAGTTCTTCAGTTTCTCCTTGGTCAGTGACTAGTGCTAAATCCTGACCGGTGTGGTTAAGGGGACAGTTTTGATTCTGAGGATGCTCTTCTGGGTGTTTCATGACATCTCTTCCCCACAAAGGCTGAGGCTCACTTAATTTCACCTCTTGTCCTTTTCTCTGTTCAAGACCATAACCGGCAGCTCTCCACTGTTACCCAAGTTTTGTCTGACTGGGAGCAGAGCGGTGCCTGGAGAGCCTGTGGTTCCTGCCCCATGTTGGGTCTGTGGTCCCTAGCGCTCTGGGACCTCCTAAAAGTTAACTAGCCTTCAGTAACCGGCTTCCTGGATGAGCTGGACGGTTAGACAGCACCTTTATGATTTCCCATCATTTCCCCTTCTAACCTGCTCTCCTTTCTTGTTCCTCCGCATGCCTGCATGGAACCTCAGGCAGCTCTTATAGCTTTCCTGGTCACATTAATATACCCCCCAAGTCTGGTCAGATAATCACAAAAGTGCACACTCTCATCAAACTAGCGTTTCTCGCCTTGCCCAGGCCAGGCTCAGTCACGGAAGCATGAGATGGTGGAGGGAGGGCTTGACTTCTTGTCTTATTCCCCTCCCTTCTCTCCTCCTCACTCCTACCCACCCCACCCCCAAACTGTACTTTGTTCCAGGTGACAGGAAGGTCTTCCTTGATAGGGACAGTTGAAATCTGGTATTCGCCACCCACAGGTGGAGCATATCCTAAATGTTCATTTTCTTTTAAGATTTTTTTTTATAAAGATTTTATTTATTTATTTGACAGAGAGAGAGATAGTGAGAGCAGGAACACAAGCAGGGGGAGTGGGAGAGTGAGAAGCAGGCTTCCTGCCGAGCAGGGAGCCCGATGTGGGACTCGATCCCAGGACCCTGGGATCATGACCTGAGCCGAAGGCAGACGCTTAACGACTGAGCCACCCAGGCGCCCAAGATTTTTTTTTAAAGATTTTTATTTATATATTTGACAGAGAGAGACACAGCAAGAGAGGGAACACAAGCAGGGGGAGTGGGAGAGGGAGAAGCAGGCTTCCCGAGGAGCAGGGAGCTCGTTACAGGGCTCGATCCCAGGACCCTGGGATCATGACCTGAGCCAAAGGCAGACGCTTAACGACTGAGCCACTCAGGCGCCCCTCCCCCATTCACTTTATTTTTATTATTATTATTTTTTTTAACATATAATGTATTATTTGTACAGGTCTGCGATTCATCAGTCCTACACAATTCACAGCGCTCTCCATAGCACATACCCTCCCCATTCACTTTAAATACACTTTTTAGAGCAGTTTTAAGTTCCAAGTAAAATTAAACAAAGTATAGAGAGTTCTCATACAGCCCCTGCCCAGCCTTCCCCCAGCCTCCTCCACTCTCAACATCCCCCACCAGAGCAGTACCTTTGTTACAGCTGATGAACCCACACCAACATACCATTCTCACTCAAAGCCCGTAGTTCACATTTGGGTTCACTCTTGTACATTTTATGGGTTTTGACCAATGTATAATGATAGGTACTCACTAGTACAGCATCATACAGAATAGTTTCACTGCCCTGAAAATCCTCTGTGCTCCACCCATCCCTCCCTCCCTCCCCTGTTATCTCTGGGCGACTACTGATCTTTTTACTGTGTCCATAGTTTGCCTTTTCCAGAATGTCATATAGTTCGAACCATATAGTATGTAGCCTATTCAGATTGACTTCTTTCACTTAATAATATGCATTTAAGGTTCTTCCATGTCCTTTCATGGCTTGATAGCTCATTTCTTTTTAGTGCTGAATAATATTCTGTTATCTGGGTGTGTACCAGTTTATTCATCCATTCACCTACTGAAGGCCTTAGACCTTTCTTTCATGTGTCAAGTACCAGATTCTTTATCTCTCAAATTCTAGGGATATATACCAAGCTTTCTGAATGGTTCTATTAAGGCTACCCTAACTTAATATGGTAGGCAGAATAATGGCCCCAAAGATGTACACATTCTAATCCCCAGAGCCTAAGAGTATTTACATGGCATGGCAAAGTGGAAATAAGTTTGATAATCAGCTGGCTTTAAGATAGGGAAATTATCCTGGATTATCTGGTTGGGCCCAATATAAAGGTCCTTAAAAATAGAAACAGAAGGCAGAAAGAAGACTGTGTCAGAGTGATGTGATGTGATAGGAACCCAACATGCTGATGCTCTGAACCAAGCAATGTGGGGGCTAAAAAGGGGGAGTCATTTCCCAAAGGAAGGGGACTCTTGATATCAGAAATGGGGATGGGAAGGATGCTGAGGAAAATAAGCAGGAGCTGTCCTATTAGATACTTATATAAATATATGCACATAGTTAGATATAGCTATGGATATATGTACATACGTACACACACGTACATGCATATGTACCCACAAGTACATAGTTAGGAAGAAAGACTGTGTACAGCTTTTTTTTTGGTGGTAGATCATTTTTTTTTCTTTTTGCTTACCTGGATTTTTTTCTATAATGAATATCATCATTAGTGATATAATAAAGAAATAAAAGATTTAAAAAGAAACTAGGCATACTTTTCCCAAGAGTCCCTTGTTACTTTCCTGACATGAATCTGCCTTTCCTGCTGAGGTCACAGGCAAGAGCTCTTTGACTTGGATGCTTCAAAGCAGCTTGAAACACAATGATCCTTCCATATAGCCAGGCTACTCACCCATATCCACCCCACCCTGCTTATGATGCCACCAGATGTAATGGCCTGTTCACTGAGGTCTGGCCCATTGTCATTGTTCCAGAGAAACCTGCCCCTACATAATGTCCTGAAAAAGAGGAACCTTTTCCCAAGGTCAAGGGAGACCTGGAGGGGCCCCCTGCAGTGTCCTTGGTCCTTGGTCCTTTTCAGTCTTGGGAGAGTCTTGGGAGATGCACATGTTTTCAATAAGAGGAACACTATTTCTGCAGGCAGGTCTCTAGCTGTCTTTCTCCTTGCATCTGGTGCACAGTGAGTGTCCCAGAGGAATGCAAGGATGAGCGGTCCCACCTAGAATTGCTTTCCTGTTGGTTTCTCTGCCCTCGCCCCTGTTGCCAGGACACATTCCTAGAGGGTAGCCTGGGATCCCTTGATTATCTGGGGTCTGCTGGTCAAACCTGGCATCACATTACACACAAGGGTCCTCTCTGAGGCTGTGGACAAGGCTGACCAGCTGTCACAGTGTCTTCTTTCTCACGTCATAGCCATTCTCCCCTCTCTGCATCCCCCTTCTCCTCCCCACCCCCTCTCCCGGTGTGTTGTCCACTCTAATTTCCTTGACTGGAGGGACCTGGATTCCTCTCCTTGGAGATGAGTCTTGGCCCTCCTGGGGCATTTCAAGCAGCCTAGGTCTCTTCTCCACTCCTGCTGATTGTGTCCATGGTCCACCCCCAAGCAGAAGGAGAGTCCTGACCAGAGAAGGGGAGAAGTGGCCTGTTTCCTTCCTCCACCCTTCTCCAAAGAAGGTCTTCGAGCCCCAGGGGCATGGCGAGTGGGAAAACAGAGAGCTGAGCATGAACTTCCCTTCCTCTTATTACAGCAGTGATTTTTGGTCACTCTAAGTCTGGCCCAAAGTTCCTCCTCTGTTTGGAAGAGCTGGACTTGCCTGAGTGTCCAGGAGAACCTCCCATTTTCCTGGCAGGAGAGTATGGCTGAGGCACCTGCCTCCTTCTCTGTCTTTTTTCCTCCCAGGCTGTCAGGTCAGGGGCCAGAAAGACCCCCAGAGGGATGCACGGGAGATGTGCTCAGTCAATACCTGCAGATAGGTGAGCACAGCCTTAGGAAAAGAGCTCGTGACTCATTCCTTCCCTGCCAAGTGGGAAATGAAACTCCTCATGGCTGGGACTTTTACATCCACCATCTCTAAAACCTCAGTGGGCCCACAGTCCAGGATTTTGGTTGCTTCTTGCTTAGCTTCCTCATGCTGGATCAGCAGAATATCTATGTGAGGCTCCCATTTCCATCACTCAGAGTAGACGTGCCCCCCCAAGCCCAGCCCTTCTTACGCAGTGGGCTCCAGCTTGGTGCAGCCTCTGGATCCTTTCCTGGGACCAGTGAGAGGGCATATAGGCATTTCATCAGTACCTCATGCTACAAACCAGCAGAGGTCTGGGAAAAGTCAACTCTTTGACAGGGAAGAGGCCACACACTCCAGGTCATATTGTGTGGCAGCTTCTGTCCCTCACATGCCTCAGGAGGGGACCAGGATCTCCAAAGCCCCTTCTACCAGAGCCTTGAGTAACTTGGCTTCTTCTCTACCCCAGGCCCTGGACTATAACAGGTTGTGGATGTAGGGCCAGAAGCCAGAAGCAGAAGGGCTGAGACGACTCTGGGATTTGACTGGGTACCAAACATGATAGCCCAGAAGCAGAACATTCTAACCCCTTCTGAACACTGGTGGAACCAAGGTTCTGCAACCAAATGAGCAGCCTGAAGAGAGTGGGTATAGTCATAAGTGTTCAGAGATAGGCAGTGAGTTAGTGTGAGGCCTTCAGTTTGGGGGATTAGCTAATGTTAAAGGTTAGAAGAGGTAGCAGTCCTGGAAACTACAGACAGAATATGGGTAGGGAGGAGATGAGATAGGGTGAAAGGGACACCACCCCTGTGGCCCAGCTTCTTTCCCGCCATGTGGGAATTGTGGTGAAGACTCCCCTCTGGGTCAGTCCTCATCCAGTGAGAGGAGCAGCTCCAGTCTGAGGCCCAGCCCACCTGGAGAGAGAGCAGCAAGGGACTCGTAAGTATAGCGGGCTGAGTAGGGAGGTGGGATCCTCTCAGATATAAAAGTAGCAGAAGCCCCTGCAAGGAGAGTTGGCCATTTCCTTGGCCTTCCTCATTTATTTCCAACCCTTGTCCCTGACGCCGCACTGTCACCCAGATCCACTGGCCCAGATTCAGCAAGGCTGGGCCAGCTTTCTCATCCTGTGGCCAGAATTGTCATGCATTTTTGGGTAAGGTATAAATCACAATTCTCTCATGTCTTTGCTGTGGAAATGAATGAGAACTGCTAGAAAGAAGCAGTAGCTTCTGGAAGACAGATCCTGATCCACAGACTGTAGGTTTCAGGGTTGAGAAATGATCAGCCATCAACTCTTCCATCCACTGATTTCCCATCTATTTAGCCAGCCAGCCGGCCAGCCAGCCAGCCAGCCAACCATCCATCCATCTAATCTGGACCAACTCCCTTCCTTTTCCCTCCCTCTCTCCTCTCCTCTCTTCCATCTTCTCTTTCCTATCTTCCAAGTAATATTTTAGAATCTGTTATGTACCAGGTTTCTCAGATGTGGCAGACTTCTTCAAAGCATAAGAAGCTTCCCAGGAGAGAACTTAGTCCTTCACTGAGCCCCATATCAGCTCCTATTTGCCCTTGGCTTCTCCCACATATGAAGGAGCAGTTCCTGGCCTGATGGCGCTGAGCCTTCCCACTTTGAGAAGCTCACAAGTGCAGGAAGCAGGGAGGAGAACCCACATCTTACACTTACATGTTGAATCTCCAAGCCCCACTTTTGTAAAGGGATGCTATATCATCTAAGATGCCTTAATAACAGCAAGTATTTTATTGCAGTGGTCTTCTTATTGGTCTCTTTGCTTCTAGGCTTCCCACATCCTATTCGATGTTCCTCACTACTATCAGAGTGAACTTTCTTCAATGTCCCTGTCCTTGTCTCTCTCCTACCTGAAGGCCTTCATTGGCTCCATATCATCCATAAGTCAAAGTTCAAGCTTCTTAATATGACCCCAGGTGCCTCTAGCCCCATGCCCTTCCCACTCCTGTCACATACTTTACATTCCAACACCACCAAACGGACCTCCATGCTGTCTTATGCCCCCATACTTCTGAATATGCTAATCCTTCTCCCTGGAACTTTTTACCATTATCCCATCTTTGTGCTTCCTTTGAATGGTGCATATTCTTCTACTGTTACGCTCATCACACTGTATTGTAATTTATTTGCTCTGGTCGGTCTTTCCTACCAGACTGTGAGCTGCTGGAGGACAGACTGTGAGTTAGCCATCTCTGTGGCCCAGTCCTTGCACAGGGCCTGGTACTTAGGAGGCACTCAGTATGTATCTGTGGGATGAATGCACGCATAGATGGACGACGGATGAAGGGAGTCTTATAAAAGAACTAGAGTAGTGTTGGGACAATAGGGTTAAAGTGTCCGTGTAACAGGCCCCTGGAGAAGAAGACAAATGGCCTCTTCCTGAGAGCTCAGAACTTTGCAGAGAGGATTGACCTGTGGCTGTGGCCAGGGAAGGTGCCTAAGCCAGGAATGGGGAACTTTGGGATGATATGACCACCTCCTGTGGGACTCACTTCCTGTTTCTTCTAGATAAAAGGTCCTTGGGGAGCCAGCCAGCTGGAAGCACATGTGCTGCAGGGGTGAGCGTGCAGGATGAAGGCTGCTGAGAGGGAGGTCCCAGATGTGCACTTCACTGTGGATAAGCAGAACATCTCCCTCTGGCCCCAAGGCAAGCACCAGCCTCTGCTCAGAATCTGCTTGCTGCTCTGTGTTCTGCTGTTGGCGGGTCCTTCAACAAATGTTCTCTTCTTCTTCTGGTAGAGCCTCCTCCCAGGATGGGCCCGTGTCTGGTTCTGAGGAAGCCTCTCATGGTCCAGGCTACACTCATCATCCTGACTCTGGGCCTGACCTCCTCCAACTTGCTGTAGGCCACTCTCTGTAAGTCCTCAGGTTTTATTGTCCCAGTTTTGTCCTTCTCCACAGCCAGCTCCCTCAACGTCCAGACCCTCTCCTTCCTGCTGTCCAATTGTGTCTCCCACTTCTGGCTTTTCCATTTGTCTCATTTCTCCTCTTTCCAGGTGCATTCATGGGGGTCCCCTGTCCCCAGTAAGATGAGCTGCTCCTCTCTCCTTCCTGATTCCAGGGAGATTTTCCTGATTGGGATCAGCATTTGCATGCTTGTGCTCAAGGATATGCTCTTTTGTCCCCAGGAAACATTCACCCATTTCTTCATCCCATGTCATCCCCACCCCACCCCCTGAGCTGTCCCTTTTATTTGGAGCCTTGTGGGCAGCCCTTAGCAGTGAGCAAACTGTTTCCTGACCCCACAAAAGAAGGACTTCCAACTGTGTCCTCAGCCCCAATCGACGAGGTGGAGGATCTGCCAATGAGCGGAGATATCTCCTGGTTCACCATTCTTACCAGGACCCCTTCATGCTTTCTTCATTCTTCTTCCCATTCCTGCTGAGGTCACATCAAGGGAGGCTTCCTACTTGTTCACCGGATGTGTGACTTATCTTTCCTCCTCTTTTGCGTTGTCCAGCCCCTCATGTTCTCTGCTAGCAGAGCCTTCTCCTTCCCACCAGGTCTCCAGACAGCAGGGGAAGGGAGCATGTGTCTTTTCCTTTCAAGGCTTTGGGACAAAGTTGGTCTCAGACTCAGAGCCTCTGAGCAGAGTTTCCTCTTGGTTCGTCATTGGTCTCCTATCTAGCATGCAAGCCTGTGACCTGAACAGAGAGTGACAGTGGGTGGGACAAGGGAAGGGGAGAAATGGTTTCATAATTCCCTCTTTCCATATTCTCTGGAGGAAAAGTCACTTTCAGATTGGAAGTCTGTCCTGCCTGGCTGGCTCCCATCCTGGCCACAGAGGGCCCGTGGGCAGATGTGGGAAGTGTGCTGCCCTATCTGATGTCACCGCAGGGGAGAGAGCTGGAAAGTGGGTGATGGAGCCCCGGGGATGCAGCAAGCAGATAACTAGGGCATCCTTTGTGCCCTGAACACACAAAGAAAATTTAGGACTGGGTACTAATCCCCACTTCTGCTTGCCTGTGAGGTCCTCCAACAGAGTCTGTGTTTTGTTAGTCTTTGCATTATCTGCATCTCCAAGAGTTCCTGGCCAGCACTCAGTGCCCATCGCGTGTTTGTTGAATGAGTACATTACAAATGAATGGAGGGTAAGCAACAGGTCTTTGGGTAGCTTGAGCCTATCCCCTCCTTTCCCTTCCTTTTATCACCCTGACAACACTCCCAGTCCCTGGCAATCCCCTTGGCTGACCTCTTGACTTTCTCAAATCCAGATCCCTGGTTTATGCACACAGTATCAGATGTAAAGACCAATGCCCAGTTGCTGAAAGGCCGTGTGGACAACATCAGCACTCTGGGTTCTGAGATCAGGAGGAATAGAGGTGGTGTGGAGGCAAGCAGCATCCAGGTCGGGATGGTGAATGCCAGCCTGGATCATGTGCGTTCTCAGATCAGGAAGTTGGAAGCCGGTGTGAAGGTGCATCGGCTTCCAACTTCCTGATCTGAGAACGCACATTGTTCCAATTTTGGAAACAGTGAACACTGTTCCAGATGTTAACAAGAAGATGGGAGGAGGTCAATGATTTAAATACCCAAATTCCAGTGTTAAAAAGAGATTTGGACAAAGCCAGTTCTTTAAATGCAAAGGTCCGGGGACTCCAGAGCAGTTTGGAGAACATCAGCAAGTTGCTCAAGTGGCAAAGTAAGTGACTCAAAAAAGAATGTTGCAAGCTGACCAGTGGCCCATGGGACCTTAACAGCCTCAAGCATGAGGCCGTCAGGCTGGTGTGTGTGGAAGGAAGGGGAAGAGGAACCGGGCAGGCATGGTTGGACAGTTAAGAAGCAAGGGCTCAGCAGTGGGCTTGGAGGACTTAGGGGCTGTTCAGGAGAGAAGGGACCAGGAGCCAGCATGGGCTCTCACACCAAGGCACAGAGTATGAAGGCATTAGGGAGTCTCTGTCCTGGCCCACACCTAGCTATTTATCCATTGAGTTCCTTCCCCAAAGCTGGGGGGCTCAGCCCCTTGTGATGGTCGACAGAGAATTGCTTCCCTCTCGGGGGATAGACAGATTCTTGATCAATGTCTCTAACTCTCCCCTATCTTAACCCAGAGACTCTACCACTCTCAGCCAGACTTTCCGCAGGTCAGACAGTGTCCCTGAGCCCCACACAAGGACCCCAGGACCCCAGAGCCCAGCTCCATCCACTGCTGTCTCTGCGACCCCACTTGAGAGCCACCTGCAGCCAGCACCCAGAGGAAACAGGGACCCCAGTGTTCATCTTTCACCTTGTTCTCCAGATGACGTTCTGCAGATGATTTCTCAAGGTTGGAAGTACTTCAAGGAGAATTTTTACTACTTTTCTCACATCCCAAAGACCTGGTACAGTGCCCAGCAGTTCTGTATGTCCAGGGATTCACACCTGACCTCGGTGGCCTCAGAGAGTGAACAGGTAAGTGCTGTTCTGATGGGCTCTTGGAAGGGGGTGTATTAATAGCTGTTTCAGGCAGGATGGGCAGGAGTATGGTGCAGTGACAAAATTCCCCAAATATCAGTGACCTGACAGTGGGGGATTACTTCTCAGTTACACTGCATGTCCAACAAAGGCCTGCAGGGGGTTCTGCCCATTGTGGTTACTCAAGGACCTCCGCCAAAAGAGACTTCATCTCAACGTATGTTTCCACGATTGCTGAAGCAGGGAAAGAGAACACGTTGGCTCTTAAGCTTCTGCCTGGAAATAACAGATATCACTTCTGCTCATACTTCACTGAGCAAAGCAAACGATGCAGTAGTCCCAGCTTCAGAGAGGGCTGGGAGGTACAATCTTTCCATGGGCCCAGAAAACAAAAGCATTTGTGAATAGCATTAAAAACACTACGTAACCCAAGAAATCTCCTACCTGGTCAGCAGAATATTGAACGAGCCCCTTTCATCTGGGAGATGGGCTAGTAGAGTAAGAGTGTGTGCTCTGGAGTCAGTCTAGAATCCCAACCCTGCTCCTAACTAGCCCTAGAGCCCCGGGTAGGTTACTTAACTTCATTAGCTCAGACTGTTCATCAATGAAACACACATGATAATAGTCCTGCTTCAGAGAAGAGCTGAGTAGATGCATATTAAGTGCTCACTACATTTAGTTATTATGATCTGGGCCCTTCTCCTGGGGTCCCTGCTCTGGGGTTTAGCTGAGTCTTTCTTGTGCTTAACACCTGCTTCCTGAGGGGCCGAAAGGCCTGAGTCCTGTGTCTGTTAGTTGTGGGGTAAAGACAAATCAGAATTTGGAAGATGGACTCTGGGTAGGGAGAGGAAGGGGCTTGAGAGAGGTCAGTGTGTGGTGTGTCCATGGAGCTGTCACTGAGGACAGGTGAAGGACACCCAGAGAGACAGATGTTCCAGCTGTGAGTCGTGGCGATGTCTCACTCCTTCTCCTTCCCTACAGGAGTTTCTGTACAAGGTGGACTTTTCTACTGGATCGGCCTGACCAAAGCCGGGAGTGAGGGGGATTGGTGCTGGGTAGATAAGACTCCATTTGACAAGGTCCAGAGTGCACGGTAAGCCCCAGAGCCTCCTATCCAGCCTGATTTCCTAGGCCAGGGCCAGGGCACAAAGGATGGGGTGACTACAGGGTTTGTGGTTCTTCCCTGTTCTCTGCCACTCATTGCTCATGGGACTGGGGACAAATCCGTGGCCTCTCTATGGCTTCTGGGGTTTGGCAGCATGGCCTTACACCCAGCCTCAGCAGGGCCCCTGTTCTAAGTGTTGGGCTTTGCAATGTGGGTTTGCGTAGGGCCTTGAGAGCGGTGGGCTGGCTTGGCCCTAACTTGGGGGAGTGATTGCAGGTTTTGAGGTTGACAGCTCACCAGTCCCCTTCCTCTCAGGCATGGGAGCAAAAACGTGATGCTATCACCCAGGATCATAGCTGGGTATGAAGCCACTCATTTCTTCATTGGAAACAAAGTTTTTCTTTGTTTTTTCCTTCGGTAGGTTCTGGATTCCAGGTGAACCCAACAATTTTGGGAACAATGAACACTGTGCCAATATAAAGATGTCCTCGCTTCAGTCATGGAATGATGCTTCCTGTGACAATAAGCTCTTTTTCATCTGTAAACAGCCCTACATCCCATCGGAACCATGACAGGACTGGCCCCAAGCTCGCACATTGAGCTCCAATGCTTGTCGAACTCAAGAAAATGCCCCTTTTTTCCAATTCCAGGGTGACTTTGCACCTTCATTTTCCTGGCTTCAGAATTATCCCAGAGGCATCCTGGAGTTCATCTGCTTTGGCTGGGAATTCTCTGACCCCATAGAGGCAGCTGGAATGGAAGGAAGATCTTGGAAAGGGAGAGGAAAGCAGAGAGGATTTAGAAGTTCCAACAGCCTCAGTAAGGTGATCAGGAACTTGGGGTTCCCTGTCCTTTCAGAAAAGCCTGTTTTATCACATGAAAGTTGCTCCAGACCACCCAAACAATTCTCCTGATACCGATGTTTAGAGCTTTTCCAGTCGATCCCATAGAATTCCCAGTTGCCTGCCTATGGGGTCCGTGTTCTTCTCAGTGGGAAGAGCTCTGCACTTGGTGAGCCTGTCCAGGCCATGACCCTACTGCCCTCTCTATCATCCACATCTCCTGATGTTTGAGCCCCTTCTTCTCTGAGATGGGGGCAGCTGGGTCAGGTCAGGGGCTGACGTGGAAACAAGCCCCCTTTAGAGCTGGATCAGTATCCACGTTCCCTCTCACTCCACCTCACTAGGCAGACTCCGTGGTCCAGCTCTGTCTTCTGCAGTCCTCCACCCAGCCCAGCCCCTCTGCCTCACCTCCCGCACATCCTCTTCGGGCTGCATTTCCTCTCTGCCCTTTAGGTACAGAGGAAGTGGTCCTCTGTCCCTAGAGAGTTCACCTGCAAACTTCATTTGAATAAAATACTGCCTGGGTAAACCATGTTTTACCTCTGTGAGCATATTTTAATCCTGGATGTACAGGTGAATGTGCCGGCAAGACCATCTGCTCTGCTGGACATAAAGTTCTGGGGTATCCCAGTTGGGGGTTCAAAAATGACAAGGGGTAGAGAAGACCCAGCCCTGGAAATGCCACAAAATATAAGCAGTATTTACCCTTGGTTTTTATTGAAATAAAGGAGAGTGAGCTCTGCAATGTCACACCCCTCTTGGTGGTCTTTCCTCTCCGATGTTCACTGGACAATCTTCTCTTGCCTGGCTTTACTCCTGAGGGGGAGACTTGGCAACGTTTCCCACTCTTCACGAAGACCCTGCTCATGGGTATCAGGTCCAAACCCTGATCCGGTGGCCAAGGCAGGGATCCAGGGCAGGGGCTGTGCCTTCCAGGAGGAGAGCAGAGGGGGGAGCAGGGAGGATGTAGTGTGAGCGCAGGGGTGGGCTCAGCAGAACGCCCTCCTTTCCTTAGGTCCTCATTAGGGCCCTCAGTAGGGTCCTGGGGATAGGACATGTTCCTTTAATGACTGTGACCAGCAGGTGGTGTTCTGGGGGCAAGGGGGTCAGGCTTAGGGCAGAGGCATTAAGAGTAAGCTTGAAGAAACATGGGACAAATGGGATTTTTAAATGATGGCAATGGATAAGGGATGGGCAGGCAGTGATCGTGTCCATGCAGGAGCATTTGTGGGCCAGTTCCAGAGCCTGCTGAGGTCTGAGGGCGTGGGTGTGTCAGGGCAGAGAAGACGGGCAAGCCCGTGTGGCTACTGCAGGCAAGAGATAATCTACATTTTCAGTAAGAAATATTTTGTGCTTACTCATAAGTCCAAGCAGCAAATTAGGGGAGAATTTTATTTTTTCCCAGTGTTGGATCTCTGGTCATAGCACGGGCTGATACAGAAATCAAATACAAGCTGCTTCTAGGAAGCTATCCCATTGGGTTTCCAAGTATCTGCTCTCCATTTCACTCTCCCACTTGCCATGCTAGTCCTGATATCTGGGCTGCCACGTTGAGTAGCGTGTGTGGCCCTGCTCCACACTCCGCCTTCCTCCCGAGGTGGCACTTGTCACCGGGACAGCTGATTCAGAAACTTGTATTGTAAGGTCTACAATTTCATGTGCTGCTGTGAATCTTTGAGCCTGTTCTCATCAGATGGTCACCCTGCCTCGCTAGTTCCTCTGTCCACTGGACCAGCTGCACTCCACCCAACTTTCAACCTACTGGGTTCCACGAACCCATCTGCCCGCCAACCCAGGAAGCTATTCCAACAAGCCAATCACGTCCTCCTGCAGGAATCAGGGCCGCTGTATCTTCTTGTTACTACAGTGCCTGCATTCCACAGTCCTTGCTGGTTCACTCGCCCATGGGCATAACCCCCATGGGGGTTGAGGACACCTGTATCCTATGTGGTGTCCTCCTCCTCCAGACTGTGGGTATATGACTAAGAAACGACTGTCAGTCTCATCCGTTCGGTGTTAGATGCCGTCTGTTTGGTCAGCTTCCACTATTTAGGGCAGGAGATCCTTCCCTCACTGCTAGGGACTGAATGGTTATGTCCCCTCAAAATTCAGAGGTTGAAATTCTAACCTCCAACATGATGGTGTTAGGAGGTGGGGCCTTAAGGAGGGAATTAGGGCAGGAGGGTGGAGTCCTCACCATGGGTTTCGTGCCCTTATGAAAACAGGCAGGAGAGCTTGCTTTTCTCTCTTTGCCAGGCGGGTTTACAATAAGATGGCAGTCTGCAAACCAGGAGGAGGTTTCTCAGCAGGAACTGGATCTGCCGGCACCCTGATCTTGGACTGCCCAGCCTCCAGAACGGTGAGAAGTAGGTTTCGCTTGTGTAAGCCTCCCAGTTTGTAGTATTCTTGTTATAGTAGCTTGAATTGACTGCGTCACTCACCACTGGGATGAACAGGCGGTGAGCAGAACGAGGCTGGTCCTGGTGTGAAGAGGTGAGCAGGACCATCCGACCACTTCTCTGGGAAAGAATTTGGGGTAGCAATACCCAGGGGATGAGGCAGCTAACAGGGAAGTCCAGCTGGAAGGCCCTGACTTAGAGAAGGGCTGCTAGGGGCACCTGCAAAAACGAGGGCTAAGCGGAAGCTCCAAGGCAGAAAGGCAGAGCACATGGGAGCGAATCTGGCAGGGAAAAGAGAACGGTGCAGAGGAGAGAGGAGCTGATCTGCAGAGGGGAGGGCAGCGAGTGAAGGCACAAGGACTCTGGCTGCAGAGCTTCCTGGTGCCACCTTAGATCTGGCCCAGCCCTCCTGACCCTCCTGGGTCCTGTGCATGTGGATGCTATGACAAGACTTGCCCCACCCCTCCACCCCATTGTCATTTTTCCAAACAGAAAGAGCCTGAGTCAGTGAGGATATACTGTTATTGGGAGTCTGTGCCTCATGTGTCAGGGTCTTGTGATCTTGACTCACTTATCCCCACATATAGGGTTCACTTCTCCAGTGAGGTCACTTCATGGGTACCTGCCTTTCTGCATGGTTGAGTGAGGGCCTTCCCCCAGTCACAGACTTCTTGTGTCTTGTTATGTCCTTCTACATGGGAGAAGGGGCGAACAAGTTCCCTGGGGCCTCTATCATGAGGGCACTAATCCCATTTATGAGGACTCCACCCTAATCCCTAATCCCTCACCACCTAATCCCTCCCGAAGGCCCCACTTCCTAATACCATCAGATTGGGGGTTAGTATTTCAACATACAAATGTGGAGGGGGACACGGACATTTAGACGGTAACAATCACTGGGTGCAGCCCACACTTAAGGAGTGCAGAGTTATGCCCTACTTTCTTGAAGATGGAGTATCTACACAAATTATTTGGGATTTTTCTGTGTGGGAGATTTATCTATTTATTCAAACATTTAGTTTATCAGTATGGATTCATGGGTTTTATACTTTGGATTATAGTCCAATACAACTTCATTTATTTTCTTGCTCAAATTGTTCCAGTTTTGGCCAGTAAGAGCTCTTTTAGGGGGCTCCTGTGTCTTTTTTTAACATTCCTTCATCTTTTTTTTTTTTTTTTAAAGCATCTGTTTACTTCCAGGCACAACAAGATACTCCAGGTTCATTTTGTGTATTTCCTGCCCTGGTCCTAGAATCAGCCATTTCTCCAAAGAGCCCTGGTTTCATTTTTTTGGATAATGATATTAGAAACCAAAATCTGGGTGCTGTGTGTGGCCACCGCAGCTGGGATGTGAGTGCATCTTTTTGGCTGAGAGAGCTAGGTAATGTGTATGTGGATACCTGATTTTTTTTTTTTTTTTTTTAAAGATCATTATGCCTGCAATATGGTGACAAGACTTGAGGGCGGCAAGACTAGAGGCAGGGATAACAGTTAGACGATTAACCGAATTAAAGCCGGGTGAGATAGGGCACCGGGACCTGTGATGGGAAGGATTGTCGTTACTGTTGTTGGATTTGCTGTGGGATGCAATTTAGGACACTTTGTGCAGCTGGGTGCTCACATCATGCCCCGAAGCTGCCTCCCTCCAGCCTTACCCTTTGGCTGCATTGGCTTAGCATCAGGGCCAGGCAGACTCTCCCCAGGAGCAACCTGGGTAGCTCTTTGCCTACAACCTCATGGTTTTGCAGCTTCAGAGGAATGAAGTCCCTTTTCCAACAGTTCCAACAAAAATCCAGCATTGGGTGACATGCTCATCCCTAAAGCAATAATGGAGATCAGGAAGATGGGTTATGTTGATAGATCCACAAGCTTATTCCTGGGACTGGGAATTGGGTCTGGGCTTAGCCTCCCCCCTACTGGACAGGCTGAGCAGGAGGGAAGGGTAATTCTCAAGACAAAGATCAGCAGAGATGCCAGAAGACGGGAGACTGTCAGCTCTCAGCTGCTGAGGGTCCCAGCTTGCAGGCTGCAGGTCTCCCCTTTCCATCAAAACTACCTGATCTAGCTACTCCCTGGAAGACAGCTGGGTGACTGAAAAGCTTCTTCAGTGGGCGCCTCGGTGGCTCAGTTGGTTAAGCATCTGCCTGAAGCTCAGGTCATGATCCCAGGGTCCTGGGATCAAGCCCTGCATCGGGCTCCCTGCTCAGTGGGGAGTCTACTTCTCCCTCTCCTTCTGCCCCTCCCCTGGCGTATGCTCTCTCTTGCTCACTCTCTCAAATAAATAATTTAAAAAAAAAAAAGAAAGAAAAGCTTCTGCAGCTAGGGGTCTGTACCTCTGAGAGTGTGGCCCTGTGCCCTTCAGTAGGTCAGGAAAAACCAATGTGTAAGAGGTCCCAGTGGATGAATGGTTCTGGTATTAATGTATAAAATGTCATTTGATTTATTCTGGCCAGAGAACAGAGAAACCTCTCAGTAAGGATGTAGCAACCTCCTGGTGTTTCCTGCTGGCAGATGGTGTTCTTACAGGAGAAATAAGAGCTGAGAGCCTGGGGTGGGAGGGGAATGGGGACAGAGAAGAGGGGGCAGGACTGAGAGTCCTGCCGGTCATGCCTGAAACCACCACAGTTGCAGGACTATGCCCTATCTTGGCCCAGACTCTACCCTTCCAGTTCTGCTTTTGAGGCTCCCTCAGCTTCTCAGGCCCCAGGAAGAATCAACTTCTGAGTGGGCCTGGCCTGGGCCCTTCCTGAGTGTGGGGTTATGGAAACCAAAGCGGGCTCTTGCTTTTCTTCTGCCCCCCCCCCCCCCCGCCCCGGGGCCTCTTCTGGGCCTCTGGGGAGGGACCTCAAGCAACTCTCCTTTCATACAGAGGTGAAGGGGTTTGCTAGACACTCCTGGGGTGTCAGGCAGAGCGGTTGACTGCTCCAGAAATGGGTGCCTTAAAATTCCTCTTGTGTCCTTCCCTCTCAGGTCAGATTGCAATGGATAGGAGGAAACAGGCCAACAGATGCTGGATCTGCCCTCTACACACACACACACACACACACACACACACAGAGCCATGGAATCATGAACTGCGTATAGACAAGCACCCCCTCCCTCGCCCTGTACATCCTCTGTGCACTCAGCTAGCTGCTGGCCGAGTTGACAGTGGCCTCCGTGACACAAGCTCTTCTTGGGCAGAAGCTGCTCTCCCGACCCTTCCTCGGGACAAGGCACTCGCAGGACAGCGTCTCCACCATTTCAGTTGGGCTGCAGGCTTCTTAGCGCTCGGAGGGCCTGTGGGAGGCTGACTCCGGGA